AATAGTGGGAGGGCTTAACATTCCTCTATACTGGTCTTAGGCAGGTCGTAGACAGGAAGCTGTAAACTGGAGTCTGAAATGAAGTGCTACATCTGTAATCCTAATCTTCCTTCCTCCCTCCCAAACCTAAACCCCAAAACCTCTACTCCTGTCGTGTAGTGTCGTCAATTCGCTTTTAACGGTAGTGCCTCTCAGCCACCGTAGTGTCGTGTCAGGTGAGCGTGTCATGTAGTGTCGTGTAGTCTCATGTAGTGTCCGCGGCCGCAGCTAGACCATATTGGAGCGACCACCGGGCGACGTTTGGGTCTACGTCAACCCTAAAAGGGGAGGTGCTGTAGACGGTAAATACCGTAGCTAAACACCAATCATACAACAGCAACGATGAAAGATTGTAGCCGAGGCAGCAGAGCTCGGAATATAGCTCTTGTCACTCTCTCTCTCTCTCTCTCTCTCACACACACACACACACACACACACACACACACACACACACACACACACACACACACACACGTAGGGCTGCTCGTATTATGGCAATAATGTCGATTATATTGGTCAATAATTAATATCATGATTATTAAATACGATTATTCATTGACTTTGAAAACATCCATTTATTGAACAAATAAAAACAAATAATAATTTGAACAGTATCTTTTTAACTGTTGATTACCCTGAACGTATAATTCAACTGAAAAACCAATACAACAATTAATTAAATGATACATTTAAATAAATAATATCAAAATAATAAATACCAATAAACAAGATCAACAAATATTGTGGAGAGCACTTCCACAAGCTACTTAACATATATAAATACGATAAACAAATTAGTCTAAAATTAATTACACTGTCACAACCTAGCAAAGCAAAATAATAGTTTTTTTCGATTAGGTTGTTTTCGTAATTGTGCAGGCCAAAATCGTAATTGCGATTTAAAATACGATTAATTGCACAGCCCTAATACACACACACACACACATACATACACACTTTTTGTCTAACGCGCTAACACAGTTCTGTGTAGTGTTATGCTGTTATGTTCAGTCATTGTTCTTATGTTGAACATGAATACATTTACTTTGTAATTAATTATGGGACGTATTTCTTCTTTCATAGCAATTTTCCTTCATACTTTCTTGCCGTGAAATAGGTCTTAAATTCTATTCAAAGTGGTCTTAAAAAGGTCTTAAAAAGTCTTAAATTTGAGTTGGCGAAACCTGCAGGAACCCTGACACACACACACACACACACACACACACACACACACACACACACACACACACACACACACACACACACACATACATATGCATGGTTATCATTCTTCAAAAGAGTTTTAGTTTTGAACATATTAAAAAATAAGACAGAAAAGCAACGAGTAGTGAAGACAAAAATACAACATTAACTTTCACAACATCCATTTCTCCTTAGCAGCGGTCTGCCGGGGAAAAATAGCAGTCCTCTGGAATGTCCAAATTGACCAAACAGAATCCATTCTTCAACTAAGCCGTTTTAAAAGAAATAATGTATTCCTGCTCCACAGCACTTATAGAACACTACATAATGATTCAATGATATGTAGATTACCTTTTTTTTTATCATGAAAGTTGTCTTATTAAATGGAATTTAAAACGAAGTACGCCTCAAATACTGAATGTGTCAGTGTGCAGTGCTGATGGAGTGTGTGTTGTGTGGGTGCAGGCAGCTGCAGCAGCAGCAGCAGGCGGAGCTGGAGGTGCACCAGAGAGACGGACTGACGGCCTACGACCTGTCCCAGGTATCCCTCCACCTTGGCACCATGTGATCAGCAAATAACAGTTTTTTCACTTAATGTTGTGCATTTTATTTGCATAACACATGTAGACAGGTTCAGTAAACACTAGCAGGAATAGAGCAGTCCTTACTGGGAAGTCATTCTCAGGATGTAGGAAACTAGAATTGTCAATTAATCTCAACATCTTTCTTTTGATTGGCTAATCACTGAAAAGTTGAAAAAGAGTCGCTTGTGAAACGTGTGTTGTATTCTTAATTTGTTTGACTTAGGTCTGTCATCCCTAACATCAACCATTATCCCCCCCCCTCAGGTGCCTGTGGCCGGTGTCAGCAGTGGAGTCCACGAGGCGGGGAAGAACATCGACAAGACAGAAGTGCTGTTCTCCCAGGAGAGAGACCCCCGCTTCGCAGAGATGTACAGCGGCATCTCCGGCTGTAAGACGTGCACACACACTCACATGACCTATATATTCTCCTCTTTGTTCCTGTCATAGTGCTGACCCTGGTTTGTGTGTGTGTGTGTGTGTGTGTGTGTGTGTGTGTGTGTGTGTGTGTGTGTGTGTGTGTGTGTGTGTGTGTGTGTGTGTGTAGCTGCAGATAAGAAGATGATGGTCCCCTCCTCCACAGCTGGAGGACAGCAGCTGTACTCCCAGAGCTCCCCCTTCCAGCAGGGACACTCTGGGAAGAGCTTCAGGTACAGTGGCGAGCCGTCAGGGCCCTCTAGGCCAGGGGTGGCTCTCGAGCCGCATGGGGCTCTCGTGCCGCATGGGGCTCGAGAGCCTAGTTTCATGTGGCTCTTCAGTTCATATCGAGTTGTATGTGTGTGAGTTTGGGGGAGAGACACTGACTCCTGACTAGTGTTGCACGGTGTACCGATACTTGAAAGGTATCCCGCGATCCCCTGCCGTTAAAAACGTTACTATTCCTCCGTTTCATTAGTATGGTACTTTAAGAATGACGGGGGAAAGTACTCCGGTGAGAAATGCGCCGTTTTAATAAGAGCCGTGTGTGTTCAGCGCTCTGCTTCCAATCCCTGCACTGCAGCCGTGCCTGCAGTCCAGTCCCTCTCAAGCACGCTCAAGTCCCTCCCCTCTCTCGTGCACGCGCTAGCTGCCAGAGCATGTGAGAAAACAAGAAGCATGGCTGTGAGTGGGAGTGCAACTGCCGCTGCGCCTCGGCTTGTTGACAAAAAAGACGCCAGAAGTGAAATTTTGATGTATTTTAGCTATATCTCTGACAGTGAAGGCAAGCCTACGGACACCACGAGGCCTGTCTGTAAGAAATGTATTAATTGTATTTAATACGAATTCTTGTTATTTATATTATTTATTGTTTAAAAGTTTGTGTTATGGTTATGGTTCTGGTGTGAAATAAAGCACAATAATTACATTTAAGACTGTTTCCATTTTTTTAAGAAAAGTATCGAAAAATAATCGGAATCGCAATTCTTGACTTGGTATCGGTATCGAAACCAAAATGTTGGTATCGTGACAACACTACTCTTGACAGTTAAACCTGATATTTAGTAGGTCTGTTAAGTATTGAATGCTGATCATTCTGACGTAATTTGGCCGGTCAAAGTTTTTTGGGTTCGGATAAAATAGCTCTGTTACTTTAGTCCCGTGTTACTTTTTCCCGGCTCTCCCCTACGTGTGTATGTGTGGTGTCAGTATGAGAGGATGACAACGCGTCTAATTTTGATGTGGCCCAAGAGCCAAATCACAATAATACCTGCGATGCAGAGAGCCAATCACCTTTTGAGGGGGGAAACCTATCGTTGATTAACACTTTCCAGTGTTTCCCCTACCAGTGTCTTGGAGGGGCGCT